GGGAAAAAAAAATGTTTTACAAGTGTTTGCGAGGAAAGATAATAAACGCGCAATTAGCGAATAAATTCAAGCAAGTGCCCTTGCACTTAAATGCCTTTTAGCGAATTCTCGTCACGGAGCCTGTGTATCGAGTCGCGCACTTTTGCGTTTAGCGAGTAGTAATAGTGAGTTTCGGGAAGTACTGATATATTTATTAGCGCGCAGGTGTTCTTAGCGTACACGCGTCATGTTCATCTAACGATACAATTTCGTAGTGCAGGTAAAAGTGCCTTATAACGGTCCTCCACGAATACGAAGCGAATTCGTTACGCGAATTTTCTCCGGCCGCTGACCAACGAGCGGATTATCTTTGCGAGAGGATCGTCCGAAATCCGCGTAAAATTTGTCTGCGATTAACAGTAGAATAACGAGTCTAAATCGGTTTCCCGAAGTCGATCGGAAAGAAAGAAGATTTCGCGTGATAGTTAGAAGCGATTTTGAGTACTGGACGAGATGCAAAAGTCGATGGAAAAACGATTGCGCGTGCGTATGTGTATGCGTGTTTTGTGTGCGTGTGCGTGATAAAAAAAAATAGAGAGAGATAGATAGTGAAGGAAAAGGAAAGAGAGAATGCGAAAGAAGTTTATTGTGTGTTCTGCAATATAAATCTAAAAAACGCAGTCGGAAATTCTACACACACTGTAATATATATATTCCGATATAATTATACAAGTATAATAATTTAAAATAATCCTTGCAGTTATACATAATAAGTTTCGAAAATAAGCACTTTGTCTTGAAATTCGGAAAATTTAGTAAATTGGAAGAAAATCGCCATTTGCTCGAAATTGTAGACTCTAAAAAGTACGAAGGTGTATAAAAGAAATTTTTTTTTTTTAATTGCTACATTCAACAATTCAAGCATGGTTTTAGTTTCAAAAATCTAATCGTAATAATTATAAATGTATTATTTAATAAATATACAGCTAGACTTGTGATTCTCTAAGAGTCGAGTACGTGAAATACTTAATTGTATATAACTTTAGTTTATGAAAAAAGAAGGGAGATAATGGGAGAGGAAAGAGAGAGCGAGCGAGAGAAACGGAGCGAAAGAGGAAGCGAAATGTAGTGACGATTATCCCGCTAGGATAAACAACGTCGAAAGTGAGTGATACCAAAAGAAAAATCATGTTCTCTCATCTTCTCGAGTTCTCAGTTTCGGCACGGCGTCAGCCGGGGAGAAAAAAACAAAAAGAGAGAAACAAAAAAATGTGTGTCGGTGATTTTTTCGCGTTCGGCGAAGATTCCTTCTTTCTTCCCGTCGCATTTGCTGCAGGGTCAACGCGTCCGTTGCGAGATATTAATTATATATTTCAAAGATGGATGCAATTCCGAAATAAAAACCCCTTAAATATGTCAGATGGTTGCAAGTTATTTTCACAATTTCTTTTTTTTTTTTTTTTTTTTAAGAAAAGACACTGCCTGATTCCTTTCAAATGACATCCTTCTTTTCAATAAGGTTTCACTATCCATTTTTTATTTTATATCAGAGAGAAAAGAGAGAGAAAGAGTCATTAGAAATGTGAATACCCTTTAAAACTTTTAGAAAAGATCTCATTCTGAAATCTTACTCTTACAAAGTGAAAATTAAGTCATTCATTTCCGAGACAGGATCATTTTTACACTCTTTAAAAAAAAAATTAGAAGTAAGTATATTTTTCAATTCGTTTCAAAGGTCATTACATTACTACTTTCCTCAATTGAAATAATATATTAACGTATAATTTAAACGTACGGATTTTTATCTTTAGAATGGAAATAAATTCTTGCAAAATTACTTTATTTTCGTATTTAATTATATTATTGACAATATTTTTCTTTTTATTAGACTTGTACAGATAAATATGTAGTTACTCGTTGTAAATGATAAAATTTCAGCTTTTAAATAAAATCAAGATAGTTTTGCTGTGATTTCCTTAAGATTTTTTCTACAGATATTGACAATTTTATCAAGAATTTAATCGATATAGTGCAAAATCGAACACGTGCATTTCTCGGTGGCGACACATCTTTCACACATGTTTTTTTAATTAACATTTTACGCACTTGTCAAGTTACATGCAAGAAATACACGCACTGGATTTTTGAAACGCAGCAAACCTCACGAAAAATCGATGTAAAAAGGCGAAAACCAACCTGCGTTTCTAATTAAAATAAAAATAAAAAATGTTTTAAGACTCACCAAGCGATGAGTAACAGCGGTGTCTCCTAAATTCCCTCCTTCTGCTCTTCTTCTTCTTTCTGCTGCTGCTGGCTGTCTTGCTTTCTCGTCTTTGATTATTTTTGAATGTCTCACACAATATTCATTCGATCCACGAAACTGACATTACAAAAGCGCGACTTTTCATGCACGTTCTTTACGCACGATATATAATTATCAATTATCACATCGCGAAAAGAAGAAAACTCTTGCAAAACAAAAGAACCGCACGAAATTTATAATCCAGTCAACTTATGTGTACGAGTTTCGTAATTAGCGCAGAAGTTCAAATAATTAATTTTGGAGACGAAAAAGGTTTCGAAAGAAAGAAACACCGAATTTGTGCGTGATGATGAGGTTTGTTCGCGTTGCTTTCCAAAAGTTCTTTCACTTAAAACAATATAACTATATACTTTTGAGCATTAAAGAGAGCGAGAGAGAGAGAGAGAGAGAGAGAGAGAGAGAGAGAGAGAGAGAGCGACGATTCCGAGTGCTAAAAGTGCAAGCAACGCGAACAGATTTTCTATTCGTCAACTACGCCGAAATATTAACTTAACAATAAAAAGTTATCGTTAATATGATAATCAATCGCGTAAGACGCGATTGATATATAGCTGATCATCCGCTGATCTAATTACTGAAAATGGCGGATCGGCATCTCTCAATGTCTCTCAATACCCATTAGCCTATCACGGTCGCGTCTCGAAGAAACATAATACTAATACGATGTATTACAATGATACGGCCGCTCAGACCGCCGCCACGCCGACCCCGCGCCAACGATAACAGAGCTCGGATAAACAAAGCGCGTCGTGCCGTGTGCAAGAAAACAATGAATGTCTCTAATAGGCGATTTTTAGCGTGCTTCTCGTATAGCAACCGCGGTTGGGGCTATCTTTGTCTTCTGATCCCTGAAAACGAAGATAGCCTTAGTCGCGGTTGCTTTTGGTTGCTATACCAGAAGCACGTAAAAAATTGCCTAGGGTGAGTTCCGTTTCTCGTATGATGTGCATAATGCATCATTTATCCTTATTTAACATTCGGAATAACAAGGATAAAAGATGCATCATGCGCATCATGCGTGAAACGGAACGCAGCCCTAATGTCGACTGTCGCGCGGGAAATATTTACGAGATCAATGGCGCATAGAAACGTAATAAAGCAAACCGACCAATCGCAGCTAAGATATTTTGAAACAGTAGCTTTGCGTTTTCGACAATCTTCAATTGCGATTGACCGATTCGCTTATTATCACGCGAATCTTACATTTTTTCACGACTTAACTGTAAAATAAGATGCGCCATTTGAAATATTGCGTTTCTCGAATTATTTGACAAACGTGCGATGTATACCTCACTTCACGCTCCTCGATGCAAGCATGAAAACGAACTGTAACGAAAATTACGAGAAGCTCGAGATGCAATTATGAGAGATATTTGAATAAAAGTAATATTCGATAGAAAAATAATTATCACCCGGAAGCACAACGATAAAGCGATAATTACTTGTAAGTCATTTTTTTCTCCCTTTTGATATTTCGATTCGGTCTTTGATTCGAGTGCGAAACGCTTATTCTTCAACAAGGACGATAAGATTCGACGATCCGTCCAATTATAGGAGCTGTTGATCGCTGAATATACAATCCTCAATTATCCGTAAAGAATTAAGATTCAAATACTTGTCGCGATCGAGAAATAATACGAAATTACGCGGAGCGCTTCGCCGCGTTGCTTACCGACTCGAGGTTTCGCGCACGAATGACGACGAATGATGACGCGGTAAACATGGCGCGTAGTACGGCGGGAAAACAAACGCCAAGGCTAACCGAACTTCGTTTTTTCTTCCTGTCTCTTTCTTCGTCGCTCCAAAATATTCAATCGTTCGTAAAAATACTCTCCATATTTTGTCCTATATTCGATAAATGATTATTATCGAATACTTTTTGTATCTACTTTGCTTCGCGAACTATCTATATTGCAGTTAACAATTTAATTAAAAGTTTAAAATTCGATGAAACTTCATTTCGTTGAATTGAAAGTTATTTTAACAGAGATATGGTTATTTAAACCCTAATTCAAATTTGAATAAGTTTTAATGTATTTAAAATTATGTTTAAAATTGTAATAAATTGCGGTAATAAAGCATAGCTACGAACTTAAACGTATAACTCTGTTATTGTGGACAGTTTTATCATTTTATAATTTGATTAATTATGCAATACCGATAACTTAATTTTATTTTATTAACATTTTTTATTTTAATTAAGAATACGTTAATAACTCTTTTTTTTAGTATAAACGATGAGTTCTTCACGTCCTACGCATTTCTTTTTTTTAAAATACTAGGGGCACGCGGCTAAATAATAATTCTTACTTTTCCTTTTTTTAAATACACAACCTTACAAATATTTTCTAGAGATGTTAAAATATATGTAAGAATAATTACTTAATAAATTTTCAATAGTAATGAATTATTCAAAGGCTCCAATATTTAACAATGATATTAAGGAAAAATTGTCAATGTGAGCCAATACAAGATGTTCTTTTGTGAAAATAACAATTAATATATTTTGTATACTTGTAAAAATGATGAAAATTAACGCAGACATGAGTGACTCATCGTATGTGGTAAAAGACAATAGATCTTATTAAAGGATTAAAATATACACATACGAAATATGTAAATTATACGCGATGTCGGAACACTTCCCTGCTCGAAAAAAATCTGAAACAAAGATGTGGACATTTATATGTCACGGTATACTTGGTATAAAATAAAAGGAAACCTTCTCAGTGTTTATTCTCTTTCTTACAGCGAATAAATCGCATCTTACAAACATACTATCGACATTTAACATTTACATTTATTCATTTACAGAGATGTAAAATATAAGATATGTACACGCTCCACGTCTCGCGCATAATGAGCTTCTCTGTACAGCTTTCTCTCTCGTTCCTTCCTCGATATTAATATTGCATTGCAAAAAAGAAACGTGCTCTTTATTGAGCATGATCAACGATTTTTCACTCCAAGCAGATCAAGCTTTTTCCTCTTGGCGTTCGTTTTCGATGTCAGAGCTGGCAACACACAGCCCTTCGATTCAGGAATCAGAAGCCCTTTGTGCTCCAGCCGTCGAATATATGTGGTGTTTGGTATTACCGAGACGGGTCCGAAGTAACGCAATTCGCGCGGTCGGTTTATTTGCAGCTTACTCGCGGCATTTGTATTAACACGACGATCTTCTGGCGAATTTTCGCTTTCCATGGTTTCAGATTCCGTATTGTTATTCCGCCTCTCTTTCATCAACGTCATTTGCCATCTAAAAAGCGAAATTTAATTTATATTATTATTTAAATTTTTTAATTATTAAAATAAATGCAAGTTAATTGTAAAAAAGAAAAACATAAAATCTAAATATGAAAAGAATATATCAAAGAAGTCATAACTTTACAGTTTTATGTATTCTAAAGTTCTGTTAGAATTTTTATAATATTTAATGATAATACGTTATATATATTTTTATTGAAATATTTTTACTGGAATTAATAACTTATTTTTATTAATATAAATAAAAGTTACTATTTAATTGTTATCTAAGCTAATCAACGTGTCTAGTTGAATTAATTGAGAAATCATTAAGTTAACCTTCCGATGCTGCTACGGCAGATCCTGGAAGACGATTCCGCCCTCTTTGTTCCGAGCAAATTTATCGCGGATTCTTTTGCGACAAGTCGCTGCAGTTCGCCGAGAAATCTGTCGACGAAATTGTCCTGCAAGAAGAACGAATGCTGCAGCAACGTGAGGCACTTTGGTCTGACAGCAGGATCCGTACGAAGACATTGCGTCAAAAAATCGACCGCCACCGAGCTCCACGTTGGAAAGAGATTTCGAAGACCCGTAGGTCGCGTTAAACCAACAGACTCATCAGGTTTCGTGTGTCGGAGTATATGTTTACCACTACCGTTCGGTTGTTTGTAAAGAGGACCTGTTTTTGATAATATATTGCTAGATATAATTCTCGAAGAGAAGTGTTTGGTATTTGTGACTGTAATTGCATGGTAAAGTAATTATGATTAGGTGCTCCATTTTTATGATTATTTAGTAATTTAATCGTATATGTATAATTCTCTCAAACATAAAAAAATTATACGATTATTTGATAAAAAATAACTCAAGTTGGATATAATTTGACATTATACGAATTTAACAGTAAATAAGCAACTCGCACTTAACGAAATATTAAATTAAACAAAGCAAATTTAGGAATTAATCAAATTACAATAATTTTTTACCAAAAAAATTGTGCATGAATAATATATTTTAAAATTAATTGAATAAACTTGATAAATTGTTTAAAGTACAAAAAGACAAAGAAGATGTAATGGCAAAGAATCATGTTATTTGTAAAATTAATTGTAAGAATTGTAACGGTTCGTATGTGGGACAAACCAAAAGGAAATTAAATACTAGAATAAAAGAGAACATATAAATAATATAAAATTGGACTCTTCAAAACATTCAGTTATCTCGAAACATAGAATAGAAGTAATCACAATTTTGATTGGGAAAACGTAAAGATAATGTAGAACACAATTATAATAAAAGACTAATTTTAGAAATGATCCATATAAAAAAACAAAGTAATGGGATCAATTGCATGAAAGATACTGAATTGTTGGAGAGTTCATATTTAGATATATTAAAAGAACTTTCATATGTAACCAATAACGAATCAAGTTTAAATCGATAATATGAATTGAAAATAACTTACAAACACTATTGTTAATAACATAATATAGAGAATGTTCGTCATGTTATATGCCAGTCACCTTTGAGACTTGTCACACGTCAGTTAGAATTTATTAATACTGAACTTATTTTAATTTTCGAAGAAAGATTATTTCACACTATAACCGTAAGTATTACATTTTGACTAGATAAATATTTTTTTTACACATTAAAGCATTCAATTTACATATTTAACATTATTTTACATCATGACATCATACAAAGGACTTAACGAGATTTTCTATTTTGACACAATTGATTGGACATGGTGTGGCATAATCATTTCACCTTTTAAAAAATATAGGATATATAACAGATTTCAAGAATTGAGAGATCACAGGTTTTTTAAAGAAGTGATTCACTTTAAGGTAGATTATTGCATAGAATAATGATTTATTATATATTAATGTAACTAATTATAATTGTTTATACTGAAGAAGATTCTGTGAGTTGAAACGTATATTATATATTTTTGATTAAAGAGAAATAATTTATATAGCATTTCATAAGATTCTTATATGCTCGTCTATTGGTCGTCAATTAATTGTTTGCTGTGCAAATTACTGAGCGTTGTGTAATTGTTTATTTTAAAATTAAGTGTCTATTGAAATTGTAAGTCCAACAACAAGATAAAGAATGTAAAGATCCGTATCATTTACAAAAGTCTCAAAAATACAAAACGCCTATCTTTTTTTATGTTCTCCAATATTTATATTATTGTAAATAAAAATATGAGATAATTTCTAAAATTAATAAACTATTTTATCAATTCTTCGGTTATCTAACAAGATTCATCATCCATCCTCTTCAACTCACCGAGGACTTTCGTGATGCGGTACAACTGGTCGATGTCACTGTCGCCGGGAAAGAGAGGCTGGCCGGTGACCATCTCGGCGTAGATGCACCCGGCCGCCCAGACGTCGATCTCTCTGCCGTACTTGGAATCACCGACGAGGAGTTCTGGCGCGCGATACCATCTCGTCGCCACGTAATCGGTACAAGACTCGTTGGTGATGTACCGTGCAAAACCAAAGTCGCAAAGCTTAATCACGCCGTTCGGTGATACTAGCACATTCTCGGGCTTTACATCGCGGTGCATGATCTGTCGAAAGAAAAACCTTCTATCTCATTAAAATCAGACAAATAAAAAGAAAACGTTATAATTAAACCTTTGCGAGACTGATAGAAAATTTAACGAACGCGAATCTTGTTGCAAAAGTGGCTGAAAAAATCTTTAAATTTCTGAAAGCAGAAGAATCAAAATAGGATGAACTGTTCGTGGAAAAAGGTCAAGTTAATTACATGATAAGACGCAGATTGTACGCCGTTTGTAGAATCCTCATTTAAATTCTAATTGCAAACGGGAAAATGCGTAATGTTTTCTGTTAACGCTAGAACTTTCCGAATCGAGCTCGACTAAATGCGGCAACCATTGCCCTCGTTTGTTACAATGCTATCATTCATTAAGTATCCGACTCCGTCGCGTGTTACTACACATGCACGGTTTACTGCAACTCGGAATTTAAGCGTCACGGCCGTGAACTTTATCGTAACGGAGGTAGTATTTATTGCCAAAGGTTGCTGATAAACGGAAATACATCATCATGCACACAGATACATATTTTGTGTCTTTCAAATGCATAAATTAATCAAAATTTCAGCGTAAAATATAATCTGAATATTATTTATTATAATAACCACTTTTAAAGTTCACATAATTCTTTAAAAAATTAAGTTATATAAGAATATTATAATATATGTAATACATGATAAAATTTACGTTTTATTGTGCAGATTTGTTTTTTAATACTATAATGAATTATAATAAATTGCAATTTTTAATAAAAAATATAATTGTACTTTTATTATATTTAAACAGTAATATATATATATATTGTTTGAATAAGATTTATTTTATATAACTCTAAAAATATCTTAAAATAGCAATATGAGATGTGAAGGTAATCATAATTAAAGTAATTACAGCCATTACAGTGAGAAGATTTTTTTACAATTGTAATAAGAATATAATATTATTAATTTTGCTCACTTTATGATTATGACAAAAGTCCAACCCACGAAGTATTTGGAAAATATATCGCCTTGATTTCTCCCAGTCGAGACCATTTTCACTTTCCTCCAATTCATCGAGCACAGTGTGATCGACATATTCGAATACAAGGTAAAGTCGTTTTCTTCGGCGAAACACCTCAATCATGTTCACCAGATTCTCGTGACGTAATTTCTAAACAATATCACGCTGTTTAATACTAAATAATATATTATCTTAAGTAATAAACATAAACGATTCTTATAAAGTAATATCAAGAAATATAAAGCGTTTTTTTTTTATCGAATGAAAACAATTGAGTAAAATTTAACGAGCGTACAGTTCGTTACATTACACAGACTTAGACTTTAACAATAATAAAAATTTTAATAATTAATACCGACCTTTAACATCCTTATTTCACGAAACGCCATTTTTCGAATGTGCACATCTTCTTCCGTCGCCAAGAACTTTTTTATCGCCACTACTTGCCCGGTTTCGCGATGCATGCATTTCATCACGAGTCCGTAACTTCCCTCGCCCACTATCTCGATATTTTCATATTTCTCCATTTTACTCGCAAGGTTGACAGTGAGAAATTTCACAATTTTTTTTCGTTATCAAAAAATCATAAACTTTTTTATATTCATCAAGATTTATACACTGAAAAGCATATTAATCATGATATTGTGTATAAATGATAATTAATCAATCATTTTTTTATCACAATTATAATTTTAAACAATTCTCTCTCTCTCTCTCTCTCTCTCTCTAAGCTAAATTAATTTTTATAATTTCTTTCACCTTTAAATAATGGTATTAAATATTTGGAATTTCCTATCACACATTTTAATCAATTTTCGGTCAAAATCTATCATTTTAATATCTTTTTACGAGAAATATTCAAAAAATGCTGTGAACAAGATATACGAACAAACAGATACGATTATGTCACAATCTTGTGTATATTTGATACGATCGAAGAAACCACAATTCTTAATGTTGCCTCGCTCGCCGACGAGCCTGGACTGCTCCGAAAAGCCTCGTGCACGGCCCTCATCGATGATTATCGATCTGCTGGTAATTAGTAAGGGGTAGTCCTCGCTCGATGAAGGCACAGGTGAACCGGTTTAAAGGAATAGGGGGTCAAACATCAGAAAAAAGGACACTTCTGTAATGACAGCAATCTCTGGGACATAAAATAAATATCGTCATTTTAAATTAGAATCTTATGCTTACTACAAATTTTATAAATTTTATACATTTCGTTTTTATATACTTTATATTTTTGAACCATAAGCCTATTACTATTCAACCGCAATTTTCTGTTAAAGCTGAAAATGTAGTATCGCATTATTAAATTGATAATTTATTTTATTAATATTATCAATGCTAATATTAATATTTATTTATTCTATGTCATACGCATAATAATCGCAAATAGCTATATTTACTTATTAGCAAATCATTCTTTAAATTTTAATATAATTCTTTGAGAGAAAGTGTCAGAGCTATCAATTATATCGGTATTCTAAAAATGAAAGATAGAAATAGATACAAATGTGGATTTAAAGATCAAGATAAAGAAAACATACATCAAACAAACTTGGAGATAACATCACAATCAATTATTACATGCATTTTAAGCTGCTTTCAAGAACATATATAATCTAACTTTGATAATAAAACAGAGAGATTTCAAGCTTCTAAATTTTTTAATAAAATCTAATCAAATCTGGAAATATAATAAAGTATAAAACAAAATCAAAATCATAATTTGTGAATAACGTTCAAAATCTTTGAAATATTAGGCAAATTCTTAAAATTCTCGAATATTATTTTGAGCTGTTGCTACCCTAGAGTTTTCACAACAGGTCTAGTTATTAAAAATATACTCAGCATACTTCGCGATTTGCGCCGTCAAAAAATTTCTATTAAGAGCAACTCATTGTATTCCACGAGCAAGTACAATTATTACAAAAAGGTATCGTAATACCTCGAATCCACTTTACCAGCAATAAAAATACGATATCAGACAAGTGTATCAGACCTCAAAAGTCGGTACTCGGCGCTATAAGTCTAAAATTCCGTCAGCACTTTTATTATCGTCACAATATTACGCCAGAAAACTAGACGAAGGTTCAACTCTGTAAATAGTAAGTTGTTTTTACAATAAACTTTTTATGATACGATATTCGCACGCATGTCTCCTCAGATCATAAGTTTCAGTCCTTAAGATAAAAACAAACCCTGATTGTCTATTTCTATATACCTTGAGCGACACAACAGGACGGGATTACCGGAATGAAGATTCAATCAACTTTATGTCAAATGTGCAATATTGGAAAGAATAAAATATCATTGAAATATGAAAGCAAGAATTTCGGAACGGTTACCCTCGGTTCGATCGTATCGATGACAACTCGAGTGATCATTCAGACGAATGCAACTTCTCTGCTGTCTTGTCAAAAAAGATTCGCGTCATAGCGATTTGTTGCCGCAACTTAGTGAGCGTAATCGATACACGCGAATAGCAATTGGAGTTTATTTATAGATGAGTTCGGTGACTTTTCTTGGTATCGTGACCAAAGGCATAGTCAGCGGTCCTTCAATCGACAAACGCGATTCTAACATTAAATAGTAAAAATACCGATAGAATATATATATATATATATAACTATAAAAGCGTGTACGTGTATTACAACATATTTATCCTATATCATATAACTTTCCTAGACGAGCAACAAAATCTGATTGTGCGCATATTATGTAATTATTTACAGTTTATAATAAAATACATCGTTATCAATTATTTTATTTAATTCATAGAACATTTACTACAATGGCTTAAAAATCTTTTTCAATTTGAATTAATGTGATCGTAGTAAAATGATAAAAATGGTGTATAATAGAGATGACACGTAATGTAATAACACGTAACACAATTTTTTTATAATAATTATAATAATTAAAAATAATACTTTCCTAATAAATTTTACTCATGAGTATAATTACAATTATTAAAGCTCCTTTATTCATCACTACTATTTCAAATTGTAGTGTCAGAAACGAGAAAATGTACAAATTCTTGCAAAATATATTAAAAATTCTCCTCTAAGTCCGTTATTTAATATCTGGAAATGAAATATTAATTAATAATAATAATAATTTAATTATATTCACACTATATGAACAATTATTAATAACATATATATAGAAATATAAACACGATTTATTAATTTCTTCCCAAAATAAGAAGATAGTTTTCGATATATTTTATGTAAGTGTATTCTATTAATTTTCTAAATATTTTTTATTGAAATATATTCTATTCGTATATAATTTACAAGAATTTTTATTGTGTTTCTCTCGCTTCTGACGTCACAATCTGAGACAATAGTAGTAAGTGAACAGGAGCCTTTTAATAATCGTCCCCTCTCTCTAATATTTAAAAAGTGTACATATCTTTTGGCAGTCGGCATGAAATAATAGAGAACATTGGAGAATATCCGGAAGTCTGGACAACGAGGAGGCATCTAAAGCTAAATTATTCGCTGGACATCGCGCGTGGACGGGCGCGCCTGTCAAGCCACGTGGGCCACGACCATGAGAAGTTACGCGGCGCGGATCAATCAAGAGCAGCAAGAAGGAACCCGCTCGAGTCGGAGATCCATTCGGAGGCGCCGTGTCGGTCGAGAGCAAGCACGGAAATAGACGCACCACATGGCGGGGCTCGAGCTCCTCAGCTCTCTCCACTCCCTATGTGCACGTCCGTCTTGCCTTTACGCGTTCGTTCTGTACGCATTCATTTAGTCGCGCGTCTCTAGCGTTCGTCCAACGCCGGATCCGTTCTCAGTTAATATGACGTTTAGCGTACGCGTCGTACTTGGACAACGAACGTACTCGTTACGATTGAGGCCTGTCTCGAATCTCTTGGCCTCAGCCGATCGCATGGGAATCGTGTAAAAGTCGAGCTAGTTTTAATCAGTAAAACAGTGATCTCGGAAGTACATACGTGAAGACTTCTATTATTAATATAAAGAAGTCTGAAAGTTGTAGAAGTCTGTGACGAAGACTGATGTACGCAAACAATGAAGAAATAACCTTTTTGTTTGTTGTACTGATCGCTTAAAAATATGCTAGTTCAAGGTACTTTAAGTGGTGATTTTGACGTGCGTAATTGAACAGAAAATGGATATGATATGAGTCATGTGGGTTAATTAACACTAACATGTAATTTCACTATCGTGGCTGATAACATAGAAATATATATATTTTCGATTTTAAAGGTTCAGAACTATAAGGATGAGTTTGTAGAACCACTAAACGTGATCTCACGAGAAGAAGAAGAAGAAGAAGAAGAAGAAGAAGAAGAAGATGATGATGATGATGATGATTCATTAATAATTTAGAACGTAATTTAACGACTGAGGCTTTACTGTGTGGACTAACATCAAGATTATTACAAAAAAATCGGGCAAATATACTTAGTGATAAATGCGACGTTGTGGAATATTTTATGAATGAACTTCCGTGGCTGCTGAGAGCAAAAAGTATCGAATTGAAAATATCGAAGAACTTGAGGGCAATGTTCACATGTGTGCATACAAGAATACACATCCCGGTAACATATGCAGAGACGAGATACGTTCAGCATGTGCGTAAAAGCGTGTAAAAGCAATCCCCGTAAAAGTTAAGCACTCGTTTTGAAGAACCCATTCGGAAGAAGATGGCACTTTTCCGAGAACTGTTACATCGAGAGAATGACTGACGTGACCCAACGAAATTTCATGTTAAAATTCTGGAAAGAGTAAAAAGAGAAACTTGGAGCATTTCCGAAGTTGCAATGCAATGAAATTATAATATTTTCACTTCTTGGATGCCTTCCTCATCGAATATCTCTGGTTTCCTGATAGTATCCTCGAAACATCAATGATTCTGTCTCGTAAACGATAATGATATTTTAGGTAAATAATATTTTATGAAAATTTGTAATACTAGTTCTAAAGTTGGACACCATTCGTCCTAACCGTTAGTGGTTATCGCATTATCGATCACAATGAAATATTGAGGAATATTAAAAACATTAGCATCGAGAATTTTTATATTTCGTTCCTTAATTTCGGAAAATTAATGAGGAGATAATTTTCGATGAATTAAATGGAAAGAACGTCGCTCGGATTCAAGGACAAGGAAATGATAAACGATTACCGAAGAAAATTGTCGTCGAGAGCACGAGACGACGACGACATCCGGAACCGATAAACTTACCGAGCCGATTAGATAAAAATATGGCCGCTTGTCATTCGACACCTGCGGTGCAACGTCTGCAGTTGCAGGACTCAACTCGAATTGGTTATGGTGCAATCAACAACATAAGTGCTTCGAGTCAAAAGACTCTTCAGCAATCGACCTACCCGCCTCTACTCAATTGGTTCTACCTGGCCATTACTGAACAAAATCCGTCGCAATCATCTGATCAGGTACCTCACGACCCCCACGATGATTGGGACGCTTAAAGATCAGGATTTATCATTGAGTCAATCCCTAACTTGTCAAACAAAGTCTAGCAAACAAAGCCTAATACGAAGCATAATAAAACCTAGCAAACAAAGAATTTATTTGTAGATTATCTTAAATCTGTAACTTTATAGGAAATAGATTTCCTGTTGAGAATCAAGCCTCTTACAATTGAAAAAATAATTATAAAAATATTTGAAAGATCCATCAAAAGAAGCTAAGCATTTTATTATTTGAGGCTCTTTTAAAATACCGAGTCACTTTATTTAAAATAACGAGCTATTTTTAATAAATTGAAGACTAGATTATCCGTTTACATTTTAGAGCAAGCTACTTCCTACAATTTGGAGCAATTTTCCTGGTACGACGTCACAGACTTATCCACATCAAAACGCGTTGAATCCGTCCGGACCCGTCAGACCCATGAGAGATAGCGGGACAGAAAGTATCGCGGATTTAGCGGTACACTTTAACGAGTTAGTAGTAGGCGACCGGAAACCGGCGAAGAAACCGCCGTCAACGTACCTGTGTCATTTGTGCTTCAAGAAAGGACATTACATCAAGGATTGCCCGCAGGTCGGTAATTTCTTCTTTAAATTATTCTTCTAATAATATTATAATATATTTCGATGACATTGAACTTAATTTTCAATACATATTTAAAACTTCGATATTTTTCTGTTTATTAAATACTAAATAGTTTCTGTATTTTTAACTATATTTTAATAATTATTTTAAATACTTTAGATAATTATATACAATAACTACGTTAGACATATACAGTAATTACGTATTTAAAATTTAGATAAAAATTATACGTATCATGTAGGATTTCTTGAATTTGGAGTCGATTAGAATTGGCAATTTTGGGACAATCTCTAGAGATCTCGGGTAAAAATATAAATAGATTGCAATCGTAAAATGAAGTTTGAAGTGAACAAATGTACATAATAATAATACTGCAATCAAATGTAATCCTTGTTACATCATATGATTCGATTTCAAGATTTCAAGATGCAATTAATCAGTCTATTATCTGATTTATGGAAACCTTCGATTAGTTATCGTACATTTCATCAACATCGTTCAACACGACTTAAATGTATCTTATCAGATCTTTGTTATAAAAACATAGAGATGGATCAATTGGATAGAGCATCGAATAGAACATCGATTAAAAAATTGGATAGTTCAATCTTTTCTTTCCGTCTCCCAGAAAAATCAATAATTAAATAATAAATGTAAAAACAAAGCAAAGATCTCCTTTCTTGTTTCTATAGCTTGACACGACTCAGAAATAAATCTCTATTAAACACGAAACGATTTGAAAGGGGCCATTGTTAAATTTAGCAATACACATAAACGACGCGCATTAATGAAACAATGCCATATACGCATGGCTTAATTGAGCGCTAATTGACATATAACCAACAGTATTTCTGAGACACATGACGTCATACGATCAATTATCGCGATATGAGGGTGAGTCAATTAAGTCGCTTCTCCTGATTGTGATGACGTTTTTATTTATCTATAACACAGGTAGAGAATACAAAAATTATCATAATGTATGTCTTTTAAAAGTTACTGATAGAATAAATGATGCAAAAACGATTTGGAAATGAAAAAAGAAATCGTAAGCTATAGATAAAAGTGTTTGATTTTCAAATATTTATGTCATTTAATATATTATTATCCATAATTACTGTAGATAAGGCATGATAGTGACTACGAATACAGTAAATAAAATTTCTGTGATAGACTCACGTAGCACAACAATGCTTATAAGGCGCTTAAGAAAGCACATTATAAGCGCATACAATCAGTGCAGAATAAATGCAGTTTTATAGCATGTTTACAGCACTTTTCATATAGCACAACAGTGCCTGCAAAGAAAGCGCTATAAAAGCGTTTGAAGCTGCATTTATTGAACTAAAATTTCTCTGAAATTTAGTTGAAAATGAATTTTTCAGCTAAAAATCGCTGAAATTAAACTGAAATTTTTCTAAAATACTGAAATTTTGTTAAAAAGTATTCCAAAACGTGGAATAATTTTAGCAAAATTTTTTTACCAGGGTGTGTGTGTGATATTGTAATTATTATATGTATGTTATATACTTACCGTCGAAACTAGCCAAGACATTCATATTTATTATATTCTAAAAATTTATATATTTTAAAAAATTTTCATCAAATTAATTTTTTCTTCATTTTATTGTCAAATAAAATTTTCTTAAATCATATCGGTAAAATCTCGATGTTTCTGCGTTAAAAAATTCTTCTGAATCGCTTCTGAAGTATAAACACTTTTCACGTGCGTAATCATTTTTTGATCAGTGAAACTTGAGACCTGCTGAGTTATTCATATTTAATGAAAGTGTATAATAACTGAGAACAATTTTAGGAGGTGCAGTCGCAAGATCGCTCCCAAAGCGCTTTGTACACGCTGTTGTGCTATACGTAGGAATTTTCATTTATATTTCTCATTTTTGTGAGATTTTAGTGAAAATATATAATTTTTATATTATCATGTTACGTAATAAAAAAAAGAAGGTAAGCTTTAAAATTCGTTTTATTACAAAGTAATTTCTCTTTTTATTTCTTACAATATTTATAATTATACGAATTATATGTTAGGTTAAATTAGATTAAATTATTATGAAAAACTGCTTTTATATTAAAGACTGCTTCCTTTGAACATTTTCATGCTGAAAGCTTTAACTTTTTGTGAATTGGCATTTGGGACTGTTTCCTTTCATTTTGTAAACTTTTTATCTGTCCGATCGATCTTTATGAAATTTGGCTCATACTCGTAAGTAACTTAATAATACTTTATTCGAATCTAAATTCAAAAATAAAAAATTTTAAATAATGGATTCAATATGGCGGGTAGAATTTAAAAAAATAATCTGATTATCACACACACACACACATATACACGAAACTCGGTTTTGGAGAATTTGTAATTGTGAAATATATATCAATAACATCATGTTTCAGTTTTAATTTATTCGAAGCTTACAAGTGCTATGCAAATAGTTAGAACCGATTTTCGTACTGATTTTCAAACTTTAATTTTGAACCTTATATGATATGATCTTCATTAGAGATTACTAGCTTTTTGAAATTTGACATTTATTCAAATTTAGCGATACTAAAAAGATCTCCCAAAACTGAATTTCCTGTAATAATCAGATTATTTTCTGAATTTTAGTATCCTGATGCCAAGAATCGAATTCAGCGACCTCAAAGCCTTTAGAAAACAATGTCGTCTTTAAGTTTCTTTATTAGAAAATTCCCGACTTTAAAGAATTAAGAACAATGTCTTTTCTGCATATGTACGAGTACCATAAATGTTTTGCGAATCAGCTTCTGATACGTCTTGAACATTTTCTTATTCCCTATATAATAACACAGATCTCCAAGGGACGTTCCAAAGAACATTCAGAGATCATCCCTATGTCTTAAGAATGTTCGTCAGAACGTCCCTCGAATAAAGTGTGTTATTTGCTACCTGGATAGTTGCTGTTTGATTTATTGATATTTATTATTTGATGAAATTTATTAATAAAACAACATTGCCAAACGCTATCATTCTCAATTCTACGATATTTATAAGTCTGTTCGCATTCAAATCTCCAAAAACTTTTTCACTTAAAATGACATAAATATATATTCGGGCATTAAAAAGAGGAGAAGTAAAGATGCTGAGAGCAAAAAGTGCAAGCAATGCGAACGGACCTATTAATAACATCTACCGATATGCAAAAATTTATGATCCATCCACCGACTTAATTGGAGTCAATATACACTCATACACCTATACGTATATACGCAGTTTTCGACGATTAATTCAATCGTCCAGTTGTTGCCACATTGCATTCTGTGATATCTGCAACAACGAAGAATACAATTAAAAAAATGAATTTCTCAATTAGGATAATTTATATGATTTTTACAGGCACGACCGAAGGGCGAGGGCCTGACGCCGTATCAGGGCAAGAAGCGGTGCTTCGGGGAATACAAATGTCCCAAGTGCAAGCGCAAATGGATGTCGGGCAACAGCTGGGCCAATATGGGCCAGGAATGCATTAAGTGTCACATAAACGTGTATCCTCACAAACAGGTGAGCGAGGAGTCCGCCTCCTTCGTGTCTGCTTTCATCGCCCGCGCGTTACGGATTCTTCCCGTGATCAATCGTTAAATATAAAATTAGTCACGATTCTCCTCGACGAAGTCCCAGTCAGACTCGCTAAAAGATTCGACTCTTGGAACCGTTTCGCTCTCTCGAAATATTGCGCGGCCGAGAGAACGAAATCTCGTGTAAACCAACGCGAAAGCTAATTATAGTCGCATAATCACGCTCACTCGGTCGCTCTTTTGCCTGCCCGGTGGGCAGAAATACCCGGAGTCACCGGTAATCGTTACGTTACGGATCCCGAAAAACGTTCGCGAAATTCCTATTATAATTGAACATTAGCTATGCCGTGCCGCGAGCGAATGTTTTAAACTTTAAACGATCCCAGATTCGCTGTGCAATCGCCAAGTTTCGAAAATTGAAATCACATCGGAGTATATGAACAATATTAATGGTATCAATAATGTATTAATGTAAATTAGTTAATAACGTCAATTAAATTAACGACAAAAATAATAAATTGTACTGAACAAAAAAAAAAGAGAGCATGTTTATGTGAGAAATTGAGATATTATCTAGCAAGATTTCTATTCTTATCTCTCGCGAGAAACGTAGAGTGTGGGTAATAAAATCATTTCTATTATTTTCAGAGGCCGTTGGAAAAACCCGATGGTTTAGACGTGTCCGACCAGAGCAAGGTACATCCCCAACATCTCTGCGAGAAATGTAAGACGTTGGGCTATTATTGCAGACGCAGCGCTATAATAACTTAACGAATTCCGTCCAATTCATCTCGCTGATCCAATTAATTGCAAGAGAGGGAGGGTTTAATGATGAACTGATGAAACAGCTCGATACACTTGAACGCATCGATACGCATCGATGTGAATCTTATAGATAGAGCGTCCATTTCAGTTCGCAGGATTAAATAGAGAGAGTAAAAGAGAAATAAAATGATATATTTTTATGTATTTTTACAATTAGAATTTTTTTATCGCATGGTTTTTGACGACCAAAGACGCGGCGTTCAATCGCAGCTTTATATTTATAATATATATTGAACAATATATTATCTACACGGACATAAAATGCACACTCAAGTGAGCAATAAATTTTTTGTTTTTTAATATTATTTTGATAATCAAGTATTCACGCGGAAAAAGGCGTGTGTTGTTCGAGTAAAAAAAATGAGGGCATTGTTCTCAGGGATAAACTGTTCTGAGACCCTAAGAGCTAAGAATAAATATAGAGATCCTCAAGAAAAGGAGGTACCTCTAAAGAAAAATAAGGGGAAAAACGACGGAAGAAAGAAATATTTCAAATGAATGTTCGTAGTATTTACAGTAATGTCGAGTTGCGTTAAAATGCAGCATCGACACGCAATCCCTGCGCAATCAATATTGTTTCACAATATTGCGCAATAATATATTGATTAATGTTTATATTGATATCAATGTTACATCTACAGTCAGTATTATATACAATATTATTGCACACTTTCTTCATATTGTGTAATAATATATTAAGCACTCAATATCCGTACGGATATTAATATTATATTCTCTGGGGACATGAACATGATGCATATATAAATCTCTTCTTATTCAATATATTATTTGCATATGTACAGATTGGTTTACGATACTGAACGAATGAAGAAACATTCGAATTGCATTAAAAGTATAAGTTATAACGTTATAAATAGAGGCTATGAAACCGATGTATTTCATAGAGTTCAATTTTCGACACTATGAACGCACATACTTAGCGATTTCTTTTACTTGTCTATTCGTGAAACACGACTGGCAAGATCTTTCAATTTCATTTACAATTGAAATTGAGCTCACTGAAATCTCAACGGTTTCTTGATTATTGTTTAACGAAATCATTGTCAATTAATTCGACATTCTCTATGAAACGCATTGAACATGTACATGTCTAACATGTATTCATGTAGACATGAGAGAAAAGTTCTCTTACCTGTGTAGTAGTAGAATTCGTAAATGCTTAAGGAGGATTTGTATGAATCGATATTACGGTCCGCACCGTTCTACATAAAATACATGCAACACGCCGATAAAACATCAATGGCAAATAACTAATCGGTCGTTTTCCAAAATGATTTGGCCTACGCATTTGGCTTATTCGCGAAGAGCTTCTTTCGTCCACAATGAAAAAGATTCAAAAATGGAAATACGACGTAGCGAGTGCTAGGAGTGGTGCAGAGAACCGTATCGTGTCATCACTAATATTGCTAAGATTATACGACAATAATATTGCTAAGATGGTACGATAATCTTAGCAATACCGTGTATACATGGGTATAGTACAGATATATGTTATTTGTATATAATGAGTGCTTTCCAAATATACAAATCAAAGATACAACGATTCTGCGCCTACGTTCATCCTCCTTTGTCTATCAATCATTTTCGATACTGTTCTACACGATCAACATGATCACGCATTGTAGAAATGTTTTATATAATACAATTTATACATAGGAAATGTACAGTGGTCAAGGATTAGTGACGACGAAGAGGAGATCCGCCGCCGGATCCTCGCTAAAATACGCCGCGGAGTTAAACGTCGTCGCCCCCGTGGAATCTACCGTCGTCTGCAAATAAAATATTTCGATTACGTTCTCTCTATCACAACTTTTATCACTTTGGAAGAAATAGACTATCTGATTTCTTTTATCAACGAGATTCTATCATGGACGTTTATATTGATTTTTTGCACAATTGCAAGTGCGCTCGCGTAAAGACATTACCAAACATGTTTATATTTGTTAATAAATCTTTACATATTGATCATTGCGTTACCTTAGTGTTGTTTGTAAAATAATGAAATCGTTTAATCGAGACAAAGCGAACGCGTTTTTAATTGTAAGAGTCAATCGGTTCCGGACGATTGACTCTTCAAGATCTTGCTAAGATACAAGGCATTGATTCACCTCAGATGGATCCACGCGGTACGGGGAATTTTCCGTCGTCGGATGCTGATACTGCGCCGATTGTACATGCTGCGTGCATTGTTGCTGCTCCTGTTGCTGTTTCCATTCCTCATATTTTCTCATCGCGAGTATCAAATCGCGATTCTCGTCTGCCAAACCAACATTTTGCGTCATATTCTTCGTCAACTTGCTGGGATCTTCCTCGTTTGACGCCACTGACTGTTGCTGTTGCTGCTCCTGTTGGTGCTGCAGTCGTTCGTCCATCTTTTCAGTCAAAGAGTTTGCCGAGTAGCAAATGTCAAAGAAATTCTGAGCTGTTGGTTGTACCGCGACTGGACTGGATACACTGGGAGCCGGTTGGCTAACTAGAGTGATTACTTGCTGCGTTTCCTTGCCCTCGGTATTGTACATCAATGTCGGTAACAGAACTGGAACCGGAACTCCGCCAGATTGCACAGAATTTAGAATTTCCAAGGGCTGCGTCACGGTCTTCGCATCTACATTATTCTCGTTAGAACACTCGATGTCAGGCGAAGAGGGAATATTTTCTGGTTGCGGCGCTATAGATCCCGGAAAAGACAAAGGCTGCTGTTGGCCAACCAAGCTAATAACTTGCGGCTGTGATGATTGCTGCTGTGGCAGTTGCGGAGGCGGCAAAACCACAACAGGCGGCGGTTCGGGAAAGAGCTCCGTTTTCAGGTTCGGTAGAAACGCGTCGATCGCTCTCCACGTGGGCGCCCAGAGATTGGAACTCGGCGCTAGAACATTGGCCGATGACATCACCAGCAACATATTCTTCAGCGACTCGGGAATCGCTTCAAACAAGAGCTCGCTGTTATCGGCGTGCATATACGCGCGTAGAAGTTCCAGCACTGTTAACCAAAGCGGCAGGAAACCAGGTAGAGTTAGCAGTGGATTCAGATGATGAAGAAATACCTTGGAGAGTAACATTGCGGCTCTGTTTCTTGTTTCTTCGACGCCGATAGGATCGTTGGAAGCGATCGGACCCAATAATTGTGCCAACAGCGGGAACAATACTTCCTCCAAACATTGCGACCACTCTATCGCGGACAGCTGTGCCAAATCACGCGCCAGCAAGGTTCTTTGAAGATTTGTAATCGCTGTCGTGCGTACTGGTCGACGAACGTCACAACAGAGTCGTGCGATACCTTGCAGTAACGGTCGCCAGGCTTGCGGCCACAGGGATATACCATCGTCAATGCTACCTTCCTCCGCCCACAATTGGAATACCTGTGCAATTCTCGTGTGTAGGGTGTGCATCAGATCTAGGAGTTGCTCCGGGCTCTGTTGATAACCAGCCGATTCCTCCGCGGAGTTGCATACCCTGTTTCGTTTGCCCGCGCATTGCAGCACCGCCTCAGCAAACGTTCTAACGCAATTGACGCACAGATCGAAATTGAAGGGCGTTACATGCACCATGTCACGCACTAGGAAGTTCAAACTTTCGCAGCATTTGACGAACGCCGCCGAGTCGTGCAACTGCAGATCGCGCGCTAGCACTATCGTATCGGCGGCTACTGGAAGCGGTGCCTCGGTACCAGTTGGCGATACTAATACCCATTCCGGCACGGGACTGATAGGTCTAGGATCCAAGACCGATGCCCGAGCGTTCGCTGTTTCATCTAGAACTGTGTTGGATCGCTTAGGCGCCAATGCGCCAGCACCTGCGCACTCCAGCAGGCTAAATACTACCTTCCAATCTTCCGCACTATGGATGTTTGCGGCGCCCGTTTTCAGTAACTCGAACAGACCGTAGGCGATTTGTCGAGCTAATGGCGCGGTCGTTGCGGACGGCAAATGGGTCAAAGGTAGTAGAGGTGATAGACACGCAAACTCTTCTCCGCGTAAAAGCCTGATAGCCAATCTCAACATGCCCACAGCTACTCGTTCGAGCAAATAAGGATGATTCTCACGCGCCGCCACCGTTAACAAACGATCCAAGTAACTCTGAACTACAGGCCAGATGCACGTTACTCTGTCACGATTCTGTATAGTTACTTCTAGCAACAACTCCAGTAGAAAGATAGATATATCTTCGTCATTAGGATTAGCTGATACCAAAGCACCAACAAGAGAATTGAGCGATTCACTCTGCAAATGACAAAGGTTGTTAAAAAAAAAATATATATATATAAGGTCGTAGCCCAGTAATCACCTATCATCGATTTACCTGAAAGAATTTACTTTCTTCTATAATTTCTTTAAGATAACAATTGGCAATGAACTCCACGGCCTTTTTTCGCGCAGTTGCCTCAGCGGGATGAGGCAGACGTGATGTATCCATAGCGATATAAGAATAAAAGGTGGAAAGTATTCCTTGATCACCCGGAGAAACTTTGGGCGTGGTCGGTTCCCGGAGTAGAGATATTTTGCCGGACGGATCAATGAAGTCTTCCGCCTCCGTAAGATTCTTTGGCAATAATCTTGCCTCGTAGAGCGACTGTAAACAATCGATGATGTTCTTCCAAGACGCTCTCAAGGCATCCCCGTGTAAATGTGTGATCTTGAAAAGAGTGCGAGCTGCCATTTGGGACTTTGAGCTTCCACCGATATGTAAAACTACTTGCTCGGATTTCCCGCCGATTATCAGACCCGTAAACTTGCAGAGACTGACTATAAGCGTATCCAAGTCATTGCACATGCTATGGTAAGCACTGATTGCCGCACAACTGAGAAAAAAGAGAATACGCTATAGCTAATATAAGAATAAATTTATAATAGGTAGCAACAGAATAAACAAACCTAAGGAACGTTTGAGCGACTTTGCGTTGCAACGATCTGTCCGGTGCTTTATCGTAAGCTCGACAAAGAGCACTCACAATGGGAGCCCACGCGTGTTCGGCTAGGTCTTTATCGATGAATTCGCCAGAATTGCCTACTTTCAAGTACATACTTTCAGGTCCGAAGCCTCTTCTTAATAAAACCTTCCATAAATAATTTTCTTTTACTAGCCCAGTTTGTTCGGCTGGCATCACGATTTCTTCCCCTCTGCACAAATAACAGTTAAACAATATTTAGAATTGGAATATTCGGACTAGATCTAATTTAAATATTTATAACACTTACTTAATTGAAGTATATATCTCATCGAGCATATCTTGATCAAAATCAGTATCGCCGTTAACCTTCTTCAAATTTCTTTTAAATTCATCGGCAGTCATAGGATTATTTTGTCTCTTTACGTTATAATTATGTTGATCGACATTTAACATGATAACCGCGTAAGCTAACGTAAAGGCGGCATCAGCCGAAGCGAAAGGTCTACCATTGCTATCCTAAACACAACAACAATTTGTTATTCTATCTTCGCACATACGTTATTTCTAAAAAAATATTAGAATATATATACACACATGCCAATGTTCAGCAAATTTCTCAAGTAGAAGAGATATTAGGGGAGCTTCCCCAGGTAACCTGAACGATTCCAGGTAAAGTCGCAAAGCCTGATCGATTCGAGTGTTTCTTAAGTCAAAATTATGCACAAAATAATTGAGAATGTTCTTGTT